ATGTATTCCCCAATTAACATATTCCCAACTCAATTTTGCTGTGGATGAAATGGGAAAGAATGAGCCCTGCTGAGAGATTTCTGCCACTGGATAGTCTGATGGTTCTTTATTCCAGGTCATCGCTGACCTTCAAGACACCGTATCTGTCATGGGGGTAGAAGGGTTATGAAAAGCAGTAGAAGATAGTTGAACAGTTTCCCTCTGGCAGCACAAGCCCCTTCAAATTTCCTTTCTTTTTTTTTTAAAGCTCTTCTCTAAGTTCATAAAAACAATGCCCTCCTGATTCCCTCTTACAGCATTCTCTGTGCAACAGTTCAGGGGGGCCAGAGGAGAATTAAAAGCAGAAAATGCCATGAGAAATGGAAAGATAAGAGCCCCAAGTGGATGCCAGTCTCTCTGGGGTGTGACTGACTGAACACAACCAATTCTCTAGTGGATCAATAGCCATCATCCCCTGGAAGAGCTTTGCTAAAAGCAGCGCATCCCGGAGCTGCCAGAGATGAAATGGACACTCTGTTCTGTCCTAGAAAGAAGATGAAGCTGGCAGTTTAGATTGCTGAAAACAGTTTGAGATAAGCTTGTAGTTCCATAGAAATTAATCCGTGCCTCTAGACAGCCTATTGGAAAGCTTCTTCAATTCAAGCAGTTAATAATATATCAAGTCTTGTAGCTTAAGGGATACAATTTTCAAAATTATTGTACTGAGGGAATCATAAATTCCACCAAGAGGAAGGTTGTAGTCCAGATATTTTATTTTAGATTTCTATCTAGGGTGCATTATGACACTCCACATGAAAGTCAAATCGCCCATGTAAAATGGTTTCCAGGTGATAAGTTTACCCCAAGGGGTCCAGTAAAGTAATACATTCAGAGTTATATCTGACTTTCACAATCTATAAAGACTAGTTATCAATTTTTTGAAAGATTTGATAAGCAGGAACAAAAAAATAGCTTATGGATGCTGACATTTGTCTCATTAATGGGAACAGCATAAGAAGTACAGGCTCCTTCTGGATTTGGCTGTAAATACACCACTGACATACATTTTGGAAGGTTGCTGTTTTGTGCTGGTGGGAATGTATTTGTCTAACCTTGCACTGACTATAATAGACATAGGAAGCAGTGATATTACTGTCAGCCACATTCAGCTTTTTAAAACAGGGGCACCCACTCTGCCAATATCTGTCAGATTCCAGGCCACTGCATATTAAAAATTATGTTCCATCAATGCTGTCTGGCCTAGTAGAAGTTTTATTAGGAAATAATTCTCCTGTTATGTTCAGGGAAGGGAAGAAAAAAACCACTTTACACAATAGAATTCAAAGGAATAATTAATGTTTCTTCCATCCTCAGAATAGGAATGCTACTGACTTCTGTAGTGTTTCATACGGAAAACCACAACCCACTTTGCAAGGGCAGAACTAATAAACATGTTAGCAATAGGCAGGAGACTCAAATACTAATTAATCTCCGGTTTGAATGTTGCCTACCATTGCATCATTCTGTGTATTATAGTGTGATATTTTCCATAAGTTGTTCCCTTGTTACCAGGGAAAAAGAATTAGATCATTTTTTTTCAGGAACATAAGACTGGAAAGTTTGCTGAAGATGCTAATTAAAACCATAATAGTAATAACAAGGTGCTTACATTTGCTTGGCTTTGGTTAGACTCTCCAGCTTAAAGTGCATTCCTGGGAGGATGCGGACTGCCCAGACTGCAGAAGAAAGGCTTTGCGTTGTCTCCATCATCTCTTGGGTTCATGGGGTGAAACACAAGAATGGCTATTCTACTCAGCTATCTAGAATTTAACACTAAACCCATTCTTCAAAAAACTCACCATGCATTTGAATAAAAATGCATTGGGATATCTCATTTATCCAACACCATCAGCAAATGGGTTATTTTCCATAAAAGTGAATCTTCCAAGTGACTATATTTTTATTTTAAAGCATTCATTGTAACCATGTTGCATTTTTTAGCCTAAGATAATTGCTTACTTTCCTACCTTTTGAAGGTAAGTAAACAAACATAACTTTTTCTTTGTGAAAATGAATGATTGTCACCAGTTACCAACCAGTAATGGCTCCAGGGCTACTGAGATGGGTGAGATGCGTGTGGATCTTTGATGGTGGCTTTCAGGCCCCTCCTTTGCTTTAGCATTTCCCTCCCCTGTTCGCCTCTTTGGATCACAGGGAAGCAGATTATGACAGGCCAGGGCAGGGGTTTGGGACTGCAACACGTCCACTTACTGTCAGTATGAACTTGAACAATTTGCCCAGTTTTCTCATTTATAAAATGGACAAGAAATACCTATACCTGCCCACAGGACTGTTGTGAGATGAAGTGACGTTGACACAGAATCAGGCACAGAGACTTCTAGCGCCGAGACACCAGTTTGTCAGCTTCTGTAGGGTACAGCTAAAACTGAATAGGTTCTAAGAAAGGCCCCTGGGGCTTTGTGACATTTCAGGGCTCTTATTTACTTACTTTCATGTCCTTTGCTGGGTATTAGAAGGCTGACCTCGCCAGCACTTATCCTTTGAAAACGTGGGCAGACCATTGCTCTACCTAGTGGCTTAAAGCAATGCTATCCGGCACCTTCCCTGTGACTTTCCTTGTTCGTCTGTATGTATAAACACATAAGGTTTCTTCTTTTATGTTTTTCCATCACATGAAAATGATTAAACAGATTTCATCATACTGTATTTGCAGGCCCAACTTTGTATATGAGCTAAACAGAATGCCTGGGAGGAATCTTTCATCCTGTGGTTCTTGAAGTTGAGCACGTGTCGGCACTGCCCACAGGACCTGTTGGGACACAGATTCCTGAGCCCCAACCCCAGCGATTCTGATTCAGTAGGTCTGGGGTGGGGCTTGGGAAGCGACACGTCGGACAAGTTCCAGGTGATGCTGATGCTGACACTGCTGCTCTGGGGCCCGCACTCCAAGAACCACTTTTCTCTTCTGCCTGAGCCAGGCAGCGTGGGCGCCGCCGCCGTGTGAGCAGCCAGCCTCACCGCGTGCTGCGGTTGCCTCTGTCAGAGACAGGCGTAACTCACAGAATTAGGCCTCAGGGATTTACTGAGATTTGGGGAAGGAGGGTGTCCCTGGACTTTTCATAGCATTTGGCCCACAGGACTTAAGGTGTTTTCATTTAAACAGTAAAGAAAAAAATGACATAGTAAGGGGACAGCTAGGTGACAAACTTCTGTGTAACCTCAGGTTACAGGAGGATTGTGACATCAACAACTCTGATTAGTTTTGCCTTTATCCTTGTTTGGTTATGTCCTGTCTGAAGAAAGTGTGTTCACTTACTCAATAAATATCTCTGAGGGGCCTCTGGGGTCCGGTTGTGTGCTGGGGATACAATGATGACCGGAAGTCTGGCCTCGGTCTCGAGGAGCTGGGTTTCCTGTAACCCTCCGCGTCCGCTCTTCCGCCGAAGCGCAGTCTGTCACATTTCTGTTACCCTCCGCTTTCCTGTTCCGCGTGTTCACTGATGACCCAGTCCCGGAGCCTGCGGCACTCATTCATTTATTCAACAGCAGTGTGCTGGGCGCTACTCAAGGCGACGGGGACTCAGCAGTAAACAGTAAAAATCCCTGCCTTCTTAGAGTGGGAGACAGACAAAAAATAGTGTAAAATACAACAGAGCTACAGTATGGAAAATATATAGTATGTTAGGCAGTGATAACAAGGGAAGAGGAGTAGGAGTCTGGGTGGGGTTTAGACAGACTAGCCGGGGCGAGGCCTCTTTGAGAAGATCTAAGATAGGATGGACTAGAGAGGTGACTCGAGGCAGCAGGAACAGCAAGTGCAAAGGCCCAGAGGCAGAAGTTCACTCCTGGCACCGTGAGGAAGAGCAGGGAGGCCACTGTGGCTGGAGCAGAGGGCAGGAGGAGAGAGCAGATGAGGTCAGAGTGGGATGGGGCTGGGAAGAAGACCAGGTAGCTCCTTGTAGGGCTTAGTAAGGACTTGGCTCTTACCCTGAGTGATATGGGAAGTCGCAGGAGGGTTTTGAGCTGAGGGGTGACATGGTGTGTCTTAGTTTAGCAGGGTCTCTGCTGCTGCCTGGGGACAGGCAGAAGGAGAGTGAAGACCACGTAGGAGGCCACTGTGGAATCCAAGCAAGAGACGTTGGTGGCCTGGACTAGTGTGTGACAGGAGCGAGGGGAGAAGTGGTCAAATCCAGGATATATTATTAAGGTAGGCCCAACAGGATTTGTTGACAGATTATGAGATATAGGAGAAAAGACCTAACGATGACACCAGGTGTCTTGACCTTGACCTGAGCAGTTAGAAGAAAGTGTTGCCACTTGCTGAAACAGGGGGACTACAGGAAGAGCACGTGGGAAAGACAATAAGCTTGATTTTAGACCTGTTAAAGTCCGAGGAGCCTATTAGACGTCCAAGCGGAGATGTCAAATAGACAGCTGGATCTTTGACTCAGCTCAGGAGAGAAGTTCAAGCTTGAGATGGAGATTTGGGAGTAGTTATGATTGACCATGAACTTTAAGCTCAAAAAGGAGGTGGGGGTTGAGAGAGGAGAAGGATCAATGGATTTGGGGGTCTGAGGACGAGCAGTGTCCTCAGAAGAACAAGTTTCAGCAAGGAGAAAGGAGCGTTCAGAGAAGAAGCAGTGGATGTAGGGATTTTGTTGATGACTGGTGGTGAGTTCCAGGGAGCACAGAAGAGTTTTGGGAGATGCAGGGGAAGGAAGGGGAGGAGATGGAGCCAGAAAATGTGACATGCTGGATTGAATGGGCAAGAGAGGCCAGGAGATGAGGAAGGCCCTTTGAATCTGTGACCTCTTGTGGGGACAGAGGGAAAGAGGGAAAAGGGCATGAGGAGGCTGGCCTCGTGGTCCCAAGACCCATGGAGATGAGGAGGACGTGCGTGTGTGCACGCACGAGGTGAGGGTGGGGGTGTGGCGGGGAGCGCTCCCACTCGACCTCAGTCGCCGCCCCGCAGTTCTCTCTCCAGTCTTGGCCCCGGCTGAACCGGCGTTCTCCACTCCCTCTCGGCCTCCACCCGGGCCCGTTCCTCCTGCACCCACTGGCTGCAGCCTCCCGGGCCTCTGTCCTGAGCTGGCCTCTTCTGTCCCTTGCACTGCTTTGGAGACACCACCGCTCAGAAAACCTCCTTCTGTTTCATATGCGTGCTGTGCTCTCGCCTTCTTCAAGTTCCTGAAAGTAAAGATGTGTTTGGACTCAAGGATTGCACAACGTGTGCCTGCACTGAGCTCATCTTTCACAAACCGTCCCGTTCCCCAGCATCTTTTTTTCCATTTCCTTTCCTTCACATCCACCCGCTTAACCAGCCATAAATGAAACCTTGACTTTTTAAAGCCAATGTTTTGCCTTCCTTGTTTTTAATTTTTAAAACAAGTAAAAGTCGACTGTTGTTTTTCATCTAGAAGATTGGTAGCTTTCTGTGATAAAAGGATGCCCTTGTCCTCTTCTAACCATTTGAAGCATTTCATTTCCAACAGAATTTTTCTTAGAACATTCTCCTCTCTGGCACATGGCACACCCACAGCCTTTCTCCAGCCGGGTTTCTACCCTTTGACCCTTGAACTCTGGGCTCCTCTTCCTGACTGACTTGGCACCGGCTCTCCAGGACACCATCTGTCCTGGAGCAATACTAAATGCAAAGAAGTCACTGGCGGAACAGAGAAATGGGGAGACAGTGTCTGATTTACTGCCCACCCAAGAACGAGCAAGAACAGAAAATGCTGATTGTACGTGGCACTGTCAGATTGAAAACACACGGGTAATTAAAAGGCTAGAGAAGAAACCATTTCAGTGGCCTGGCTGTTCTCTCTAGAGATGTGGTCTTGTTTAGCCATTGTTTGCACCTCTGCCCAAAGTTTTCCTGTCGGAGATTCTAGGGCAAATGAAACTAATCGCCATTAAATGTTTGTTAGCGGCCACCTCAGTCTTGGATTAGAGCAAGTGACTGCTGAATCCTGACCTGTTTTCCTTCCAGTACGGGCACAGAACCTGGCCATCTTCATCTGCAGGCAGCCAGGCCTCCGCCCTGCTCCTGCCAGGCTCTTCGGAAGGTGTGTCTGTCAACGGGTCGGGGAGGAGGAATAGTCTCCCGGCACGCACCGCACTTCAAGACTTCAAGAGCATCGGTGTGTTTCTCACGGTGAATGTGTCCCCTTCTTAATTATGATGGCAACTCAAAGCTTGAGACACTATAGAAAGGCCTCCCTCTGCCTCTGTGTGTGTCTGTGTGCGCTGTGTGTGTGTACACCGCACGTGTGTGTTCTCTTAGGCAAAAAAATACATCCTTTTGCTGTTTAAAATATCTTGTCATGTTGTTCCTTTAAGGAGACAACCCAAGGCAGTAGGCATGGGAACAGGTTATATTTAAGGGTTTGTAAAAATATAAAGTGATAAATGGATATAAAAATAAAGTTAACAGAATAGACAAAATTTTAAGTTGTTTTAACTAGCATTTATTGAGTGTGCTTAGTAGATGTTGTAGGCATTTCATAAGCAAGAACTTGCTTAGGCTCTGTAATAACCCCAACTACGGTAGGCATTATTAATCCCACTTTATATATAAGGCAAAATAACTTCCTCAATAATATGCAGTTAATAAAAGACAAATCAGACATTTGAAACCAACTTTGTTTCAAAATACTTATTTATTCCTCATTGTTGTGATGACTTTTAAAGGGACCAAAGGGCCCATGTATAAAGTGAAATGTCCTCTCGCTCACTGCTGTGGTTTGGGAGGTGACTAAATCATGAGGACGCCTCCCTCATGAATGCGATTTGTGCCCTCACGGAAGGCTCAAGGTTGAAGGGAGCACTCTTTGGCCCTTCTGTGCCTCCTGACAAGTGAGGACACCCTCTGGAGGATGTAGCAATGCTGTTTTGGAAGCAGAGCGCAGCCTTCACCAGTCCCATCCTGCCGGCACCTTGGCTTAGACCTCCCAGCCTCCAGAACCACGAGGAGCAAATCTCTATTGTTTATAAGTTATCCAGTCCATAGCAGCACAACCGGACCAGACACTCACGGATAACCCACACGTGTTTATTGAGCACTGACTGGATGGGCAGCACCAGATTGGGACTGAGAACCCTTCACCATTCGAATGGGATAGACATTCGCTTTCCTGAGTTACAGCTGGGTAACAGCTGGGAGGGTGGCATGTATTTTATGTCAAACATTGCTTCTCAGGTAGCAAAAGGTAAAATGTCTGTGTTGTTTGTCTGAAGGAGGCAGAAGAGGAAACGGCATATTCTACACAGTCTTGAGTCATGCCTCAGCTCTGACATGAGTTGTGGTATTACCTGGAACTGTGTCTCAAGCTTGGCTCAGAGGGTAGGCCTGTGTTCTGACAAGACAACACACACTCACACACACACACATACACACTCTCTTTTTACTTATCTGATACAAATCGGGAGCAGTCAGCAAAGCCTCCCAAGGATCTCCATTCAGGCAACACTACCCAGTGTTGGAGGTTAGTATTATAAATTATAGAAAATTGTTCCTGTTTCCTTTTTGACAGTTTGAAAAAGCCATTGTCATAGCTGGTCAAAGTAAGTTTGCTTTTTCCAGGTAATCTTTCTTGGAATATATTTTTTCTGTTTTTCTTACAGAATCTACTAGATCTAAAATAGCGTCTCTGTCTGTCTGTCTCTCTCTATACATACATATATATATGTATGTATGTGTATATATTTACCTCCTATTGGACCTCACTGACAAACACTCTGCCTTCACACACTAAGGACGTAAAATGTGGTACCTAGTTCCCATTGTTCTTGCTCGACCCAGACAAGTCTATGGGAAACCCATTTGGTTCTAGATATTTGCCAAGGCCACTGCCACTGAACAGCTTTGGGCAGCAACTCCAAGTCTTGTCCAAGGTAACTCGAAACCAGGGAAAACATATGCCAGGGTCCTGGGATTTGTCCTGCTATTGGCCATCTTGCCCTGAAAGGAGCTGCCAGAGCAATTAAAAATGAAACAAAAGAGAGGCCGTGCACACACCCCTACCTCAAGGAAAAGGGACCTCAAGGGGAAAATAAAATTTAGGAGGTTTATTGAACCCACTGTAGAGCTGATTCAGAATTTAAATTGATTCCATAATTTATTGCATTTTAATTAGCAATCACAAGAGACCGAGTATTGTTTACTCTCTTGTTAGGAGCTCTAGCTGGAAACAAATACCAGAGAGTCTTAATAAGGATGAGTTATATTTACTGTTTTCCATTTTACAGTCTTGTTATAATCATCACAAGAAGAGATTCATTTAGTGTTCATCTGTTCTTGGTATGACATTTGTTGACCACTAGGGTGACATAAAATCAGAACATACCCCATAAGCCAAGCAAGAGCCCCTCCACCCCCATCCCACCCCACGCTTGCTCCTGCATTGTTTTTAATAATATAATTTGATGTGGATAAACTTCTGGCTTAGGTTAGATAACACGAGTTCCCATGTGCCATCGTCACCCAAAATGCATCCAAATGACTGCTATTCATTATTTATTTAGAACAGAATAATGCCACAAACAGATGGACAGCTGTATTTATATGCAGCACTCCAACTTAGAAACACCCGCCACATCAGAGGCTGAGAAGCTGTCTCTGCTGCAGTGCACACCATCAGCTAGGCACGCCATCCATCGCATGGGGTAGCCCACTTGTTCTCTTTCATTCTATATTTTTGTTTGGAGAGTTCATAGAATGTTAATTCTTTTTAATGATGGTTCTCCAGGGCCAGAGATTTTGGGGCTTGTGAACAGCTTTTGTTATTATTACTCAAGCAAGAAGAATCCTGAACTACTTGTGGGTTGGGACTCTCTGGGACAATGTGTTTCTTTGGGAACACTATGGTTCCTGTTCCTTTCTGGGAACATTGTAAAGTACTTTTTAAATACCACTGTGTATTGTTACAGTGATTCCCATCGGTCATCCAATTGTCCCTCTTGGACTGGGTACCCAGCAGGTAATGGAGCTCATTATTTCAAGTCTAAAGGATATTTCATTAAATGAGCTAGAAGGACTTGATTCCAAGAGGCCACCCTCAGAAAGGGATGTTTTGTGTAACTTGCATACACATACCCTCTTGAGACTTTTCATTCAAAATGGACTTTTTCCCCCAAAAGCAGTTGAAGCGGATGCCACTGTTTATTTACTCCTCTTTTTCTTTTGTAACATAGTTTTCCCTGCCTAGCCACAGAAGCACCAATCCTATGCTTGAGTTTTAATTAAACCTTGCTCCTTGTTAAAAAGCTCCCATTGTCCTTTTCATTTAAATAGGATTCTTCTTAGATCTTTAACAAGACCACGGAGGAGTAATAAATCTAAGTAATTGTCCTTATTAAGAGGAGATTATTCTCACAAGACTATAACAGTCACCAAAGTAACTAAAGCCATTTCCAGTAGCACTTAGAGTATCCTCCTCCTGCCCAAATACAGAAATATCTCGTTAGTCACTTTCTTTGCTGCTCAAATTAAATTAGATGGCATTATGTTTATTTTTCATATCCTTTGCTAAGAGAAGGAGATTTGCCCTTTGATGACATTAATCAGGATACCTCAAGTCCAACTACACTGAGTTCATGGGATAGAAATGACCCTCCTTCTTCCCTCCCTTCCTTCTTTCCTTCTTTCCTTCCTTTTACACCTGATGCCTGAGTTCTCACTATGCCAGGCATTCTTCAAGGCATTAGTGTTTCAAAAATGAAAGACATAGTCTCTTGGACTGTATATTATTCATTCATCTAATATTTACTAAACATCTTCCATGTGCAAGGCTCTGACATAGATGCCCAGTTTTCAAAGAGAAAAAAAGGCTGCCTTCTTGGAACCTAAAATGTAGCAGGAATTTAGACATTAACCCATTAACTGCATAACTGGCTAATTACAGCCATGGCAAAAGTTATGAAAGAGCAGACAGGGCGCCACAAGAGCATGTGCCAGGGAGTTAGAAGGAGCCCACTAAGGATTCTCCACTTATTCTATTGCAGATGCAGACCTGTGCTCTCCTAGCCCACCAAACTTCCCGGGAAACTTTCTCATTTCCAAAGTTCTCATGTAGTCAGTGGCTCCTGACACTTTCAGTTTTTATTTAAAACCCATGTTCTAAACTAGCCTCCTTTGGTTACAGAAAGTTAACATTTCTAGAATAGAGTTGTCAAAGAAAAAAACTGGTATCAGACTTGAGCACCCCTTAAAGTTTTATTTCGGAAGTGTGCACATGTATGCATGCGTGGTGGCCTGTCAAGAAATGGACTCCCTAAGGAGATTGTGAGGGCGTTCTCAACCAAAATAAAAAAAGAAAAATTATTGGTTATCAACCTTACTGGCTCCTGTCTTTGCCTTCAGATCTTGAGGATATAGTTGGCATCAGCTTGGCTCTTATGCACACTCCTCTGATTTCTTGTTTAGGAATTGCTAGTGGAAACTGATTAAGTTTGTTGCCTCCAGAATTGCCAGTAACACAGAAATCGTGGGTGTTACTTGCAAAATTCTTTATCAGGGCACAAAAGAGAAGCAACCTGGAGCTGCGCAGAGATGAGGATCAAAATCTTGCCATTTGAAATGGAAAATATCTGATTCTATGGTAATAGAAAAAAAAAATAGCTCACTTTTTACTCACCCAACAAGTCAAAAAGTTTTCTTGAAGAACAAGATCAGCAGTCCATCTACTAGGACACCTTGACTTGTGAACTTCATTGCCTTTGTGAATTGTCCATGGGCTGGTCTGGACTTCAGCCTTGCAGATTCAGAACTTAGACAGCCCAGTAAGAGCAGATCTGTTGTCCCGGGAGGGACCCATGAGCCACATAGTGAGACCGAGGAACAAAAGCACCGTGCCGGAGGACTAACTGTCACAGGGGCCGAATGCTCAAAGTCTGCGTGAGCAGTGCACTCTTCCTGAAGCAGACTCCAAGTCATCATCAGAAGACTGCCGGGGGAATGTGTAACCAGAAAAGGGAGAGTTAGATGACTTCAGTACTTAGTGAAATCAAACAGTTATAATCTGTTGCTTCCATTTTGCAACTGGAGCTAGAACCAACTGGGACTGGAAGATTCAACTGGCCTTAACTGTCTACGTTCATCTTCACATTGAGTATACCTTTGCCAATAGGAGGGAGTGACTCTGTTCAGTCAGATTTTCCTTAACCTGGATGAATCTTCCCCAAACAGCACTTTGCTATGTACAATAAAGTAATTGGAAAAACAGTCTCATGAGAGCCTTTTTGATGTCTTAAAAATAAGGCTAGTTCTTTACCATGGAATATTTTTTTGGAAAAATAATACCTTATATATGAGCATGTATGATAAACATTTATAACTAAGAATGAATAATTAAGTATAAACCAAAACCATGACTTCTATAGGATGGAATTCCTTTCCAAGGCTTCCTATTGCCTCTAGGATCCAGGCCAGTTCCTCTGCACTGGCATTTAAGGCCCTTTGCTTATGCCATTAGCACATGCCCTTTTTCTAGTCTTGCAGACTCCCTTCTCCTCTAACCATACTCTTCTTTGTGTAAGTTGCACCTTCCCTGGATTGCCAGGGGGGCTTTACAGACCTGGGGCCAATTTGTCTCCTTCAAGCAACTTTCCTTCTCTCTGATACTGATCTTACTGTTTGGCTCTCAAAGGGCAATCTTATTTCATGGTTCTGGGAAGTGGGGTGAGGTGCGGGAATACCTCACTGAAGCCCTGAGTATGCAAATAAAGACATCATCGTCGTAGCACACTCACAAACTATAAACACAAATAGGAGTTGGGTTTTGGCAGGTATCAGTATACAGCCAATGCAAAAGTGTGAAAACACATGCACACACTTCCTCTTTTGTAGTCTCTATTTTCAGATCTCTAACGAGAAAATTCTTTTGAATGAAGATGTGATGACCCAAAGTAACAAAAGTGAGAATCTATATTTTCTCTGAAGCTTAATAAAGTTCATTATTATAATTTTTTTCTAGGATGACTTAGTATAAGAAATCTTTGGTGACAAATATTTGCTAGTAATGATCAGAAAACTACCAAGTGCTTTTGGATCTAACCATACATTTCCTGTTAGGAAGGGAATAGTGTTTTTAAAACTTAAGATTAACCTGCAATTCAGGATCTGCTACATACCCTGGGCTTACTTATGAAAGCCCCAGAAAAACAGGATGGCTTTGTCTTCCTCACTAGTTCCCTTGACAGAATTCTTTCAGCATGTGTTCTTGCATTGTTAGCATCCATTTCTTGACAAAGGGGCTGTACCCCCTGTGCTCCCTGTCCTACCATATAGGGCTTCTCTGCAGCTCCGGGCAGGAGGTGGGCAATTCAGAACACCTGCATTAAAGGGTCTCTGATTTAATGATGCTGGACATAGAAGACAAAAAGCCTGGCAGGTGGGACAGAACAATTCTAGAAAGTATAGAAAGTGACCTTTGAGCCTTAAAATCATCCCCAGTGGAAGTGCCTCCCTCACTATTGTAGCAGAGACTGTCGGTGCTCACTGATACCACAGGCTCCTCCATCTTTCCCGGCCTCCCTGGCAGTTGGGGGGGAGCTGTGACTGGGTCCTGTCTGCTGCGGGCAGAGCATGTGCACCGCTTCAAGGCCTGGCCTCGAAAATGCCCTGCAAGGTCTTTCGTGGCCCCTCTCTTTGCCATTGGTGTGCTTGGAGCAAAGGACTCTGAGATGTCAGAGCCACACACAATGTCAGGAGCTGGACCCTTGAACTCATGACTTAGAGTTGCCTGACCAGTGACATTCACATTGGACTTTGTGTGAATGAAGAATGGCTTTCACGTGTTAAGCCACTGGGATTCTGCAGTTGTTTACCACCACATTTAACCTTGCCTGGCCTGACCGTGGGAGGCAAGCAAGCCCAGCGAGGGAGAATGCTGCCAAACCTGCATGGTTTCATCCTCAGGGACACCAGTTCTCTTTGTTCTGACACATGAACCCAGGATGCACCTAACACCTAGGACATGTTGACCCTGGGAATCCTGCTAGCTCCCTACTTTCTAGATTATTTATAAAGGATTTTCTCATTAAATGAATAATCCAGATGGAAAAGCCCATTAGACCTAACATTGTGCCCAAGCTTACCTGGGGCCTACTCAGAGTAGACTCTGTTTTAATGCTAGGTCCGACCCAAGGTCCTTGAGGAGTAATGAGATCAAAGTTTGACTCCAGTCTGGCACACGGCAGAATCTCCACAAACACTGGTCGAAGGAGGGAAGGACAACATTCTGATCCTGAGAGAAAAGCAGGAAACAAAATCAAGGATTAGGAGCTGACGGAACCTACAGTGGAGCAGGAAGGAGCAGTGTGAGAATGGAGTTCTGGTAGGGCCACAGCTGCCTGCATTGGCAGGGAAGGCGGCATGGTGTACTGAGCTGCACCGAGGTATTTATTTTTTAAGAGCAGTTTTAAGTTCACAGAAAAATTGAGCAGGAAGTACAGATGGTTCCCATTTACTCCCCTGCCCCACACATGCGTAGCCTCCCCCATTATCAACATCCACCGCCAGAATGAGACATTCGTTATAGCTGATGAACCAACACTGACACGTCACAATCACCCGAGGTCCACAGGGCTCACTTTGGGTGTTGTACGTTCTATGGGTTTGGACAAGTGTATAATGACAAGTATCTACAACTATGGTATCATACAGAATAGCTGCACTGCCCAAAGAATCATAGGCACATTTTTATAGTGGACACAAATAAACAACTTTGTCCATAGCTTTCTCCCAAAAGGCATTTTTCCAGTACGCAGCCAAAGACCCCAAGAATTCTTCGACATCCATGGGGGAAAGGAAAGCCCATCTAGCATCCTGGCAGATGTGAGCGGAGCCTGTGGCTCCATTCCCAGCATTCTCTGGAGTTTAGCTTGAGAAAATAATAAGAATCCAATAGGATCAGTGATCTCACTCATTTGGACTACAGTAAATCTCTTCTATATTACTGCTCAGCCTCTGAGAATATTATATTGGGTCTCATTTTATTAAAGAATGTCATGCATACCCAGAAGTCGCTATTTAATTTTTAGCTGCAAGATACAATTTTGAAAAACTATTATCTAGAAAGTGCAATAATCAAACAATGTAATCATGAATGTTAAACCTCCTTGGAATATTATTTTAAATGTTTGCCAGCTGGAAGCAAAAGTTGACAAGGAAGTATCTGACATGGTTGGCTTTCTCATTTGTCAAAGCATCTATACTTCCCAATAAGATATATTTGTTAAAATGCTTTTTCTCTGCATGATTGTTTTGAAACTATCAAAGAATGCAAAATCCTTAACCAAGGAAGACAGATTTACATTTTCTATTTGTTCCAGCCTAAGATTTAGGATTAAATCACTTTAAGAGACACAATCGAACCCTTTCTCAGAGGAGCCAGACGGTCCACATACCTCGTCAACTGCCTCTGAGCTTTCTGGCTGCTCTGTGTGATCACACTCGTAAATTTTGTGACATATGGAAAATATCGGAAAACCATAGCATGCATTTTAAGAGAGCCCAGAAAGCAGGACTTCCACTGTCATGAAAGATGCCTGGTAATTTGCACATTATTTCCCTCACCAACCCCTGACTCCCTATGGAAAAGGTCAATTGGATATTTGCCCAGTGGCTGGGAATCTTCAGGGAGATTGAGCTGTTTGGTGGCATGTGCCACCCTCCCTGCCCAAAGAACGTCCAGCAAGGATATGGATCATACAGTGGTTCCCCAGGAAGGTCGTCCTCTGTTTTGGCCCTGAACTTTGTCACATGCAACTCCTCCCATCTGAAATGCTCTTCTGACTTGAAGAACTCCCCATTCTCTTCCCACACACTTCTTACCTACCCCTCTCTCAACACTTGTTTCATTGTACAATCACCTACATGTCTGTCTTCACTATTGGGCATTGAACTCACGGAGGCCAGGGCCTAGGCCTTATTTTCTTTGTATGACCAGAATTCAGCACTTTCCAGGCACACAGCAGGCACTAGGACACATGGCTGGGTGAATGCCCCCACCTGGCTGGGGAGCCTGGGGATGGAGCAGGGACTGACCTTGGGTCCTGTCTTCTCTTATGCACACTAGCTTCATGGCCTCAGGCAAGATACTTAACCTTTCTGTGCTTCAGTTTCTTTGTCTGTAAAATGGGAATAATAATGGCGCCTACCTCACAGGATGTTGTGCATGTTGAATGGTTTATACACACATTACATTTACAATTGCACCTTGCACTAGTAAGAGCTCAATAAATCCCAGCTAACAAAGTGAGTTCCCCAAAATGTGAGCTATCCTCATTAATCACAATAATGTCATTCTAAATGGCCCAACTCCATTGAACTTCTACAGCCCAGGTCTCCATGTAAACAAGTGAAAGTCATTCAATTTGCTCAGAGGAATGATTTTCTGAGGGTCTCAGCCTCTCTCTCCTCCTTCCTCCACAGCCTAGATAAGACTGGCAGGATCGGACAGCGGTTGAGGGTGTGGGAACCAGACAACCTGCATTGGAATCCTGCCTCTGTCATTGACTAGCTTCATGGCGTTAGGCAAGATACTTAAGCCTTTGATATTTCAGTTTCTTTGCCTGTAAAATGTTAGTGCCTACCTCATAAAATGTGGCAGATACTGAATGGTGTATTATGTTATTATACTTTAAAATGATAGTCAACAAAGTGAGCACCTCAACACTGTGAGCTGTCCTTATCAGTCATGGTAATGTCATTCCAAATGGCCTAAACCCCTTGACCTTCCTTTTCATTCAAAGAACACTAGGTCCTTTCCACCCGGATAGGCCAACCAGGAAGGTGGAAGGAAAAAAAATTAGAAATCACTGAAAAAATGAAAATATCATCCTAGGGTGGGGGAGAAAATGAGGTGGTTGCACAGCATGGACGGCTTGTATGAATCACTAGGAACAGAGTAGATCCAAAAACTGGGACTGTCCCTTGACAATCCAATTTGACTTCCTATAGAGGGAAGCTCTCAGGGAGGCACCACCTGAGATCAGTGGGACCAGCTCTCTGTTAGAAAAGAGGACCCAAGGCCCTGGTGATGGGGTGAAAGACGATCAAACTAGTATCTCCCTCCCTGGTCCTCTCATGCTATTGCCACCGTGAAGAATCATTCACTTTAAGACTAGAAGGGGCCCTGCAAGATCACTCGGGCCAATGAGATGGGGAGGCTCCTGGGGAGAAAGACAGTTGACTGAGGAATTTTTGTCCTTGAGGGGGAAAATCTATCTGTCTCCCACAGCCAAATGCAGAGCAGAAAATGGAGCCCTGTGCTGTCGAAGGGATGATGAACGACGTGGTCCAGCAGTTTCACAGACACTCCGTAAGCACTTACCACAGTCCCATGCCGCTGAGAACCTCACAGGTTAGTAGAGGGAGGCACATGGCGAATGGATCATTTCAACACAGTGTGTTAAAGCCATGTTGTGGGTGTTCACAGGGTGCCGGGAAAGCCAAGAGCGAGGGCACCGAGCCAGCCTGGGGCATCCGTGGAGAGTGCTCTGGAGAAGTTGGCGACGCTTGAGCTAAGTGTGGAAGGAGGGAAAGAAGCAAACCTAGGAGAGAAAAATGGAAAGATGCTCCTGCTCAGAGTGAATAGAATGGACAAGCAGATCAGTGTGGCCGGAGGCTAAAGTGCCAGGCATAGCGGAGGCCCCTGAGGCCAGGGAGACCAGGCACCTCGGGTTCAGGGACTCGTGCTCCTCAGTGGAACAGGACTTGAGCGTGGATAATGGCAGCCACCAACAGGTTTTTCAGCAGGGGAACTGTGCAGTCCAGTGTGCGGTCTGGGAGGTCATTCTGGGGCAGGCCTGGAGGAAGTGTCCAGTTAGCTGCTTTGAGTGGGGCTTGGTTTCACTGGGTCCCCAGTGAACAATAGGGCTTCCCAGAGACCGAGGGCACTGGAGTCACAGTAACATTCCACACGTGGCCACCAAGCACCTACCAACTCCACATTTTTAGTATTCCTAATCATCTGGAAATCCCCCTCACCCCAACACAGTCCATGTACTTCAGGGGGACCCCTGACTGCACCCCTGGGACATGTGAATGAGCATATCTATTTCCCGGTCATAGCGTTTGCTTTAAGGATGGGCAAGTGATTCAATTCAGGCCACGGAGACCCAAGGAAACACTTTCCTGGGGGCTCTGGAAGGTGCAATGTGCAGATACAAGGCCTGGAACTGCTGCCGCTGTCTTCTCTCCACAGGGAAGGCAGCCCTAGGACAACATTGGCTCACGGATAGCAGAAAATGTCAGAAAAGAGGACCGAAGGCCCTGGTGCTGGGGTGAAACAGGATCAGACTGGGGTCTCCCTCCCTGCAGGACAAACCTCTGGACTTTCCAGTCACGTGAACCAATATACTCCCTTTGTTTAATGAACCTTTCTTTCTTGTTCTCAGAAGCTCAGAGCTCAGGGGCACAGATGTCTCCATCTCAAGTATAGTGACCAGGACTGGCCACTTCTAAACACGTAAAAAAAATCACTAGATTTTCCTGACAACCTTTTAGTAAACTTAAAAAATCATGTTAAATTAAAACCATTTTGTAAAGCTCTGCTTGACCGGACTTGTCTCTCAAATCCACTTCTTTGCTGGGTCCCCTTAAAGCAGTGGTGCGCTGCCACCTGCTGGTCGCAAGGCAGAAGTGCCCTAGACAGCATATGGAGAGCGTTCATGCTGGAAAAAGCCTTGAAGATAAGCACTGGGAATAGAATTAAGGGGAAATTCATTTTCTGCTAATGTATATTTTTGAGTTGTTTGAATTTTGGTTGGCATATTTTGTTTTTATAATCATAAAAAATAGAAATACTTACTTTGGGAAATACAGTATTTCATATCTTGTGACATTTATTATACTTAGCTACTTTCATCAACACCTGCAGTTTCCTTGAAAAGCAGCAACTAAAACCATCACCACAGAAGTCCTCTCCTCCCTCCCTCTTCCTAAGCAGAAACCACCGCTCCTTGACCTCCCTTTCCAGGCCAGCCGGCCAGCCTGTTTCTTACCTGTTAGATCTTCTACAGAAGAGCCCAGTCTGGCGTCTCTGTATTCACGAAGCACTTACCACGCTCTCCAAGTATTCTCCTTACAGTCTCTGTCTAGGCTTGGCGCAAGGAGCCGCCACAGATCCCCTCCCCCCAGCCCTGGGAGAGATGGGATTTAACAGCTTCTTGCTCTAAAAATTCTCTTTGCCTTTTCCTTTAATGGTTAAGGATTTTAAGGGTTGTTTGCCCTGTTGTTGATGCTACTTTGAAATTTCTGCACAGTGCCCCCTTTGGAGTTTAGCATCCATTGTATTCATGCCTCAACCAAAACCAAAATAGTAAGAATCCCATCATAGATGCTGTTACAAATTCCCTCCTGATCCTTATTTGAGGCGGACCTGACCGGGACCAGGAGTAGCAGCAGCCTCAGTCCACCAGCAGGTGGCGCCCAAATCAGCCTTATGGCCTGCGCTGCACCCAGGACTGCGCCCCGCCGCCGCCTTCTCCTGGCAAAACCCTCCCTCCGCTACTGCCTCCATGTCAGCCTGCCGTAGTAACATGGTACCCGGGCTTGGGCTTCTGTTCCCGGGAAGCCCTGAAACTCACAGAGGCCTGACACCTGCCCAGCTCCTGCCGGCCCCCTCATCTGCGGATCCTTTCCTGTGTTGCCCCAAGCCCAACCCGGCGGGGGGGGGGGGCACTTCTCTCCAGGATTTCCAGAGCCGTTTTCTGCTCTGCATCGGAACGCCTCATAAGAACCAGGCTTGAATTTTCCAGCTGCCTTTGGACACAGCATCGTGGACCGTCAATCAACCCCATAGGAGTTCACCCTCTGGCCAAGCTGGTTCCCCTGCCCCCTCCCAGCCGGCCCAGGAGCCTCTTCCTCCCTTGAGGCGGTGCTGGGGCTGCTCCCCCATCTCCCGCACCTGTGCACCTGGAGCCTACAGTCCCAACATGACCTGGCCCCGCTCAAGCTCACCTCATCTCCTACCCTCCGACTCTCCTTTGTCTCCACCCATGCAAGTTGGCAGAGCCTCCAGTCTCTTGTAAAAGCCAATCTTCTCGCTGTTTCAAGATTCTTCTATTTTTAGCCTACTCAGCTGCCCTGTGGTACCTGACAGTTCCCAGTGGAGTGTCTGCTGCTGGGATCTCTGAGGCCCACCAAGTCCCGGGAAGGTACCCAGGCCCAGCCACACTGCCACCTCCCGCAGGTGTCCACACATGTTGTGTGATGTCACCTTCACTGAGCCCCAGCTCTGGGCATGGAGCGCTCAGTGCCATGGGCAGGCTCCCCTTCCCTGTTCCGTGTGGCCAGAATGTCCTTCCTCATTTTGTCCATCTCCCAACTTTTAAGAGTCAGCGTTAATGACCTTCTCTGACACTAGGTGCACCTGCCGGTTTTGGGGGGTGGCACCTTCAGCTTGGTCCTGAAGCTCCTCCGGCCCAGCCTTCTCGGTTTCCCCGCCTCCTGGGCCCCACGTCGGTCTCTGCAGAGCTGGCTACGTAGGCCTCTTTGAATCCCTCTGCCCATGGGGTTTGGAGTAAAGTATACCTGGGCTCAAAGCCTGTAGTTTTCCACTTGCTAGTACTGTATGACCTTGGGCAAGTTACTGAACCTCTCTCAGCTTCTGCCACTTCTTTGTAAAATGAAACTGATAATAGGATCTGCCTCATAGGATTGCTGTGAAGTTCAAGCGAGATGGACAGCGCTCATGAACCACTTAAAAAGGGCCTGGCAACGAGTTAACGTTCCTCAAAGGGCAGCTATTATTCACTGCAAAACCCAAGGCTGCTCCCCACGTTACTCCCACCTGGGTGGGCGCTGCATTTGAGGACAGGAACTAGTTCCCTCAACTCCATATTCCCAGCACCTAGAACGCTGCCTGATACCCTGTCGGGGCTCTGGTGTTTGTTGACTTGAAATACTTGATAGCACTATGTTCTCTCTCCTCATTTAGATGTTATCTTTCCTGAGGATAAAAATCACATTTTTTTTTGTAGTATGACTTTTTCTATTTTGATGAAATATACATCACATAAAAGTTACCATTTTAATTGTTTTTAACTGTACAGTTCAGTGGCGTTAAGTACATTCACATTGTTGAGCAACCACGTGGTATTTTTTGAAAATCCCCGCGGGCAGCACGAGCAGGAATAGAAGCTGGAGCTGCGGGGACGGAGGGGACGCGAAGAGCGAGGCTGCGCCAGCACGGGGCGGGCCACGCGGGCCGCGAGGCATGGGGTTTGGGGCCACGCACAGCTTTGCTTTTCTTTTGTTAAGTTGTTCTAAAATAATCTGTTTTAAATAAGTTGCACTCTCACACAAAAATCCGTATTGCGGTTTCTTTTGGAAGCCGGAACTTTGTGGCGGCGTTGGGCCTGCACGGCCTCTGCGCAGGGCGCGCTGTCCTGCCACTGCTGCCACTCAGGCCTGGCTGGTCGGGTTGAGACCCTGCGCCTGCTACCCCCGGTCTCGTCCCGACATTGAGGAGGGATGGACGCCCCTGCCAATCGGAGTCTCCAGGGTTTTGGATATTGAATACTCGCCTGGGAAGACACCAGGAACTGGAAAGGCCAGAGCACTAGTGCAAGGTCTGTCTGGTCAGCACCGGCAGCTGCAGGTACCCGCATCACCTGTCCGTCACCTCTGGGCTTTCGCAAAGGCCCTGCCTGCGCTCCGCACCCGTCCCTGTGGGTCCCCACCGCGCCCGGCCGCCCCACTGGCGTCGACGCCACCGCGCGCATCCGCGCAAAAATGCACTGCTTGTGTGCCACACCTCAAACCAGCTCCGGGAACGGGGGTTTAACGTCAGCACCACCAATTCCTCCGCCCTCGGTCCCTTCCTCTCCCTTCCCCTTCCTAGGGTGCCTTTTCAGCCTCTGCTGTGGACACCATCCTTTCAAAGCTGAAGGAAATGAGGGCTTTTCCCCTTTTGGTCCTTGTTCCAAACCCCTTTCTCTCAATTCACCTCAAAACTCAGGTCCGCTGTGTTTCCTTTGTAGCATCTTGATATTGAAAAAGAATTCAAGACAGGACATAAACAGACAAGTAAGTCAGGTGATTCGGTTTTGAAATAAAACAAGTTTGTATAGTAACCGGTTCCAGATTGCCTTACAGTCTTGCTTGGCAGGTAGAGATTTATTCCTGGTCGCGTACCAGATGTCACACTTGCTCTTCTAAGACGTTTGCTTTTATCTCCAGCAGTTCCTGGTGGAATAGATACAAAGAAAAGACTACAGCCTTGTTTAAGCAGGGACTAGCGTGTTTGCGTTGTGACACCAGAGAAGATCTGATCATCTGAGAGCTTCCCAATCTAGGGCTTAACAGCTTTAAAAAATCAAACATGTTAAAACAAAACAAAACAATAGAAAACAAAAGCACCGAGCGGCAGTTGCGCGGTTTGCGATCTTTTGTGTAAGAGATAACATGCCTGTGATACAGGAACCAACAACCACCTCCAACAAGATATGTGTGGTTTAGCTCTTCTAGAAGAAAACAAGGCCTCCAGAAATCGGATACTAGTTTCATAGAAAAAGCAGAGAGTCATTTGACAACATTTCACTGTGACAACGAACCCAGAAACTCCTGAGACTCATTTTAGCCAGGAGTGGCGGCCTTCTCCCCAGCCTGGGCCCGCAGGTAGCAGCATCCTGCCCTGGGCTCTTTCTGCTCCTTCTTCCCTCCCTCTGTCACTGTGCATTCCTGGTGGGACTTTCTGGTGACTGTAAGTGCTAGGGCTCTTTGGCAAAGTCACTCAGACCCACTACAAACTGGTTTTAGCAAAAGAGCACATCACCTAACAGCGCTGATCCCGATCCACAGCCCTTCTCTCCAGACCTGTCATTAACAGGAAGCAGCTCCCTTCTCCGTCCCTCAGCGTCTCCTAGCTCAGTCTGGAGAAGGAGCATCTGTTTGCTCCGGCTTGGACAGCATGTCCACCTGCTGCAGTCAGCTGAGTCCTGGCAGGAGCTTCTCACGCAAACACAGTTGTGGGGCTCATTCTGACGTTGGAGGGTGAGCAAAGGAGTGGGTCAGGGGCTGGCCAGACACCCCAGGAGGATCTGCCGCTTTATTAACACGACTTGGTTTTGATCAGTGGCTATGGCAAGGGTGGGGACCGTTCTGTGGTGAGTTACTCCCAGGAGAGAAGCATTATTTATAGGGAGTGAGAGATCACACAGCAAGCTTAGGGGCTATGTTTAGGAGGGGGTGGCATTTGTTTCTATGGCTACTATGACAAACGTAGTGGCTTAAAACAACACAATATATTGTGTCACAGTTTTGTAAGTAAGAAATCAACACAGGTCTCTCTGGACTACAATCAAGGTGTCAGCAGGGCCAGGTTCCTTTCTGGAGTCTCCCAGGGAGAATCTGTTTCCTTGCCTTTTCTAGCGTCTGAGGCCACCAGCATTTCTTGGCTCGTGGCACCTCCCTCCATCTTCAAAGCCAGCAGCGTTGTCTCTCTCTGACCTGTCTTCTTTCACCACAACGCTCTCTCGCTGACCACAGGCAGGAAGAGACTCCACTTTTAAGGACTCATGTGATTCGACTGGGCCCCCTGGGATAATTCAGAGTACCCTCTCCATCTCAAAGTCCTCAACTTTAATCTTCTGCAAAGTTCCTTGTTATGAGTTGAATTATAGCCCCCCAACAATTCATATATTGAAGTCCTACCCCCTAGAATGTGACCTTATTTGGAAAGAAAGTTGTGACAAATGTAATTAGTAATGTTAAGGTGAGCTCTTAGGGTGAGCCCTAATCCAAAATGATTGCTGTCCTTATAAAAAGGGGAAATTTGGGTACCAACGTGCATGGAGGGAAATGATGTGAAGAGATACAGGGAGAAGAAGGCCGTCTATGAGCCAAGGAGAGAGGCCTGGAGTAGATCCTTCATTCCCAGCCCTCAGAAGGAACTGATCCTGCCAACACCTTGATTTCTAATTTCTAGCCTCCAGAACTGTGAGAAGATACATTTATGTTATTAAAGCCACCTAGTGTGTGGCACGTTGTCACAGCAGCAAACTACAAAATCCCTCTTGTCACATAAAGCAACATATGCGCAGGATCTGGGGATTAGGACATGGGCGTCTTGGGGCAGGGAGGGCCATTATTCTGCCTGCCACAGGGTTGGCAGCGGATTCTGGCCAAACGTTTTTCACTTGACTTTGTGTTGGGTCTGTGCTCAGTCGTCCCTCTACTGTAAATGATGCCACACACTAGACCACAGGCCTGTGGCTCATAAACACCCTGCCAGCTCCAGGGGCCTCAAAGCTGTTGGTCTGTGCATGGGACACAGTCCGGTTCCAGTCTCACTGGTTTTTGTAAGCCACAGTGAAAGGTGCTGGTAGTTTTTGCCATTTTTGAAGGGAAAGATTGTGTTTGCAGAATCCAGTGAACTGGACGTTGTTAGCTGCTCTCGTACAGCAAATAAAAACATACGTTCTGTGTTAGCCTTCAATTTGAGTTCACCGTAAGTCGCTGCTCACACTATAGTGAGCAAGCATCGCTCACAGCCCACACGTGGACCAGGCAGAGCTCGCCAAGGACCCTCTCCCTGCGGGTCGCCGGGGCTGCCTGCTAGTTTAGGCTAGATGCCAGAGAGCAGAAACCGAAGGACTAGTTGATGAGACATGGAAAACAACATAGAAAAGTAAATCTGTGACTGATAATAAAACAAGAGGTTCACACTCACTGCAAAAAAGTGTTCGCCTTGTTCCATGTCCCCTGCTACTGTCCTTATCTTCTTTGATTTGGACCGTGCAACACTCTCCTAGATGGCTCCCTGGCCTCAATCTCTTTCCTCCTGCTTTTTGTCCTCCAGCTGTTTTTGTAATCAGGAAAATGAAGAGGAAAACACATGCACAGATCCGATTCACCTGCTTAGGCTTAAAAGCCCCCAATGGCTCCCCGTGACCCATAAAGTCCAAGCTTCTGACCGTGGCATTTGAAATCCACCCAGGTGGGCCAAGACTGCTTTTCCAACCTCATCATTCACTGCTCCACACACCCAAGAATCTCTTCCAGTTTTGCCCAAATTTGGGGTCATGAGCACCAGACTTAGCATCACCTGGGTGCTTGTGAAAAATCCCAGACTTAGCATCACCTGGGTGCTTGTGAAAAATCCCTGTCCTATTGACTCAGAATCTTTTAGCAAGTGCTTGAAACCATTTTTATGCGCACTGCACCGAGAGCCCTCCCCGACAGCCACTGTGCTCCTCCCTCCTGCCTCATGCACCGTTCTCCTCTTTGTCCACTTCTTCATTCCTACAGCATATTTTCCTTTTCATAAGCCAAGTAAATTGCTCCTCTACCCCTATTTCCTTAGCACTTTATACAGACCCTCAGAATACAGTTTTACAGATATTTGCTACAGATCTGTCTTTCCTACTGAGTTTTGGATTCCTTGCCATTAGAAGCCAGGTCTTATCCTTTTTTCTCTAAATAACTATACAATTTCTCTGTTCATACAAGGGGCATGTGTAACTGTCCATGTTTCCCTTTCACCTTGGAGGCGAAATGTGCTTAGAGCTCAAGTATAACGATCAGGAAGGCCTCCCTTGGCTGTGTATCTATGTCCTCTTTCCCCCTGCACTTGACCTATTTTAATTTATATTTCCCTTGTCCCAAGTTTTTTTTAAAAAAGTGCATTTGGATGTTTTATTTTATATGTTTCTGCTATAAGCTGCCTCAGATCCTTTCTGGAACAGGTGGGAGAGAGATAAATTATTCATCTTAGTGTTTCTACCAACCTGGACAGCATCTGGCAGATGGAAAACACTCAATAACTATTTGTTAAATTTAATCAAAGGAATAAAGTTATGTGGATTCTGTGACAGCTATTTTACTCATCACTGAGAAGACTTTTTGCTGATTTTTATCACGGGGTTCAAGAGCAAAAACAGCTGGAAGGATGGCTAATGGATAAGTGCCTATTTCTGTACAAAATTCACACGATCGCAGCAACCCATTTATTGCAGTTTTCTGCCTCGATCTAAATGCAGCCCATTGTAGGAACTCAGATTACTCATCAGTTTTTAAATCTGTAATTAATCTTAAAAGATGGTGACTAGGTAGTTGGGAAATGAGAAAGGAAACAAGGATAATGTGTCTCCGTAAACCTGGACCGAGGTGTTCGGTGAGATCGCACAAGGAGGGGGCTGAGGGCGGGACTCGGGGTGCCAGGGGGGGTCTCGGGGACGGGGAGGCCCACCGGGGAATGGCAATGCCAGGTGAGAAGCCCATGGCAGGTGCCAGACTTCTGTTTCCTGAAGACCCACCATGGTCACATCCCCTGTGCTGCTGGAGAGATGAGTGTGCTCACACACACAGTTAAAGATGTCAACATCAAATCTCTGCACAATACAACAATGAAGAGATAGGAGAAAAATCTTGAGAACAGAAAATAATCTCACTTTTTATGCTCATTTTTCTTCAATTTACAACTAATGTTTCCTTAAGAAAAGCCATCTCTTCCATCCCTCCACATTATGTCTGAAGAAATCACAGCAGCACCCAAGTCTCTCTAAATTGGAGATTTTTTTTCCCTCGGAAACACATGAGCATGTGTAGTCTTGACTTTCAGTTGTCACCTCAACTTTCTAAACAAGTTCCTCACGCTTCCAGTTAGCTATTTTCAAGGCATCATTCAATTGGAATTTTTTTCTCTTTGAAGGAAAATAAAGGTACGATAACCTATTGATTGTTACACATAACCAACTACATGTAAAATCACATGTCTAATTTAAATTTGTTTCAGACATATTTGTTTCAATCAAAAACATCAATTCAATGTGTTGACTTTAATCGTATTTTTCTTCATGAAAACCTAGAGAATCTGAGAGAATTCTTTGAACAACATAAAAGAAAGGTGTTAATATTAAATAGATTAAAATGGAAAGTTGGTAGGAATGCAGTGGGTTGCGTTGCCACCATGTGAAAGTATACATAGGATGAGGTAAAAGTCCTGCTCCATTATGATGAAGCACAGCTCTTTCCCCTAAAATGACCTGAACAGAGAAACTTTGAGTTAAGGTTTGGGATGTATGATTTTCATTGTTGTCTTGGCCCAGTGAGCCACTTATACTGGCTGAGAGTTTGGTTCTTTTTTTTTTTTTTTTGAGACAGAGTCTTGCTCCATTGCCTGGGTTAGAGTGCCGTGGCGTCAGCCTAGCTCACAGCAACCTCAAACTCCTGGGCTCAAGCAATCTTCCTGCCTCAGCCTCCTGAGTAGCTGGGACTACAGGCATGCACCACCATGCCCAGCTAATTTTTTCTATATGTTTTTAGTTGTCCAGCTAATTTATTTCTATTTTTAGTAGAGATGGGGTCTCGCTCTTGCTTAGGCTGGTCTTGAACTCCAGAGCTGAAACGATCCGCCCGCCTTGGCCTCCCAGAGTGCTAGGATTACAGGTGTAAGTCACCATGCCATGAGAGTTTAGTTCTTAAATCTCACAAGATTAAGTGTTAATGACAGGGCAGTTCCCTCATCAGCCAAGACAAGGAGGCCTGGTTAACCTGTGGTCTGATCAACTGGCTGGATATGTCAGATGGGGCCCGGGGTCAGGGGTTACGTGCCAGCCCCTCCAGGGCGGGGGGCCTCCTGTGCAGCTGCAGCTGAGCTGAGGGTCAGGCAAGTCTCTAGTTTGTCACCCCCAGCCCCAATTGATGGCACCAGTACCCTCAACTTGTAAGCCTAGCCTTCCCACATTCTGAGCCTGTGAATCACACCATTTATGCAGGGAAACAGGAAACTCAGAGGGACCTGATGCTTGGCATGAGATCACTCTAGCTGCTGTAAGCCTGGGAATGGGCTTGGGGCAGCCTGGAAAGCACTCTGTACCTATCGGGCTGTGTGAGCCTTCCTTAAACCCTTCTGTAGTCCCCCCAATTCCTGAAATCTTATAACTGCTTCTGTTTCCCCTATAGCACTCCAGTTTCCCGGCTGAGACCTCAGCTCCTATAATGAAAGTCCAAACCCCTTGTCAACTCTGGCCAGTTCCATCCCAGAACCTGTACCCTGACCTGCTGAAAAAACAGATGCACGACCTCCCAGCCCACATTCCTACTGGGACCTGCCCGGTTCCTCCTCCCTCCAGTCCTAGTGTCAATAACGCCTTTTCCATGCTACCTTCCGCTTCACAACTACTATTGTGATGTCAAAATCATAACAATAGTACGAGCTACCATTTCTTTAGCCCTTGCCACATACCAGGCAATGTGCTAAGAACTTAACACACATTATCTCAGATCATTCTCGCAACAACAGGATGAGACAGTATGCCGTCTTCCTGTTGCAGATAAGTACACTAAGGCTCAAGGCAGTAAAGTGGCTTGCTTAAGAGAACAAACCCATAAGTGCTAGAGCCAGGATTCAAACCTAGGACTGGAGGAGGCCAAAATCAAAGTTCCTAACTAACTGTCCCTTACAATGAACTAGAAACAAAGAGATCATAGAAGGAATCTAGAATCTTAAAGATGTTTGGTTGAAATTGGTCTGTTGGACATGTCACGTGCACTACTCCAAATCCCTCAGCTCTACCCCTTTCTCCTTCCAGCCACTGAAAAAGGAACCAGGTCTGTGCAGTCGTCAGTCAGCTTCGTGCACAAGTGACCCGGCATGTCTTGCCTCAGCCTGTGCCGCATCCCCTCACTTCCTGCCCTGTGACTTCTCTGGTGTCACACCATGGGACACCATGGCATAACATTCCCACATGGACAACTCAAAACACAGGGAGTTAACCCCCTGGGGCCACTCTGACCAGTGAGAGATGGGAGCTGATAAATGTTTCCTTCCTCCATCCCCACGATGGACCTTCTGGAACACATTTCATATGGCTCCTTATAAAGTCCCACCGAGTCAAGCTCTGTTTGCCCATGGCCGTGGCTGACCTGACAACATAGCCTGATACTGGCTTTCCTTCCTCCCGTTTCCCTCTTGCTTACCCCTCACTCCTGCCCCCTGGGGCCACGTCCAAAGTACAACACCTGTATGTAAGCCCTTGTCTCGGGCTCTGCTTTGGGGGACCCAGGCAGGCGAACAGAGAAGTGCCCATTTCTCAAGATAGCTGCTCTACATATTCACATACTGCTCTCCACTAGTGACCGCGGTGACTTTTCTCTCTGTTTCTGTTCAGTGTTTTACATCCTGGAGACATAATGGGACCCCAGCCCCCCACTTCCTCTTTCCAAAGTCACTATCAGTTACAATGTCCTGAAAAGGAGGGAGTATCACTTGAACTGAGGAGTTTTAGACCAGCCTGAGGAAGAGCGAGACCCCATCCCTACAAAGAGAAAAATTAGCCGGGCATGGTGGCGCACGCCTGTAGTCTCAGCTACTCAGGAGGCTGAGGCAGGAGGATCGCTTGAACCCAGGAGTGTGAGGTTGCAATGAACTATCATGATGCCACTGCACTCTATCCGCAACAGAGTGAGACCCTGTCTCCCCAAAAAATAAATGTTTAAAAATCTTTAAGAAAATTGTTTTGGAAAGTCTGTGTAGAAGCTGTTGTGATTAACACAATGCAAACCCATAGATTTATTTTAGCCCAAGATACTATAGTTGTGATGGGAGATAGTATTAAAAATATTTTACATATAAAAATGAGGTTCTAGTACCTCCAAAAATTGGGGTAATTGGTGTCATGGAAAGCATCCCTAAGACAAGAGTCAAAAGACATAGGGCCAAATTCTAAACTTAAGTTATTGATGGGTGCTGTAACCTTAAGTAAGTCATTGGTCTTTGTAAACCTCAGTTTCTTCATGTAAGAAAATAATCAACCCTGCATCACAAAGCTTTTATAAGAAATATGAATCAGATCATGT